GTGCAGGAGGCGGCTGGTCAATGACTCTCTCATCATTGATGTTTCTGTCTCTCTCTCTCCTTCTCCTCTCCTCTCTCTGAAATCAATAAAGATATATTTTTTTTAAAAAAAATTTGATTATAAAGCAAATTTGTTAGAAGCACTGATTCTAGTAATTTTAAATATAGAAATAGAACTTGTAAAGTAGATGTAGTTTTGTGTCTACTTTATATTTACATAATATAGTAAGCATTTAAAAATATTTTAATAGCCCATTCATTTTCTTTTTCATTATTGTGGTTGATCTCCCATAGCTACCTGGTATTAAGCATATTTCTAATATCTGACTGTTTTGGCAGCAGATGGGTATTAAAGGGGGAGGGGGAGCAAAAACTGTTGTTGGCAGCAGGCAGAACAGATAAGACAATCAGGAGGACAAGCTCTGCATCTTCACCCAGAATAGTCTATTGCTGTGTCTGCTGATAAGAAAACTTAAAAGTTGACTTAACTTGACAAGAAGCACATATTCATACTCACAAAGGCATTATCCAGCACCAGGAAGAGGTCAATGTATTTCTCCGCCCGAAGAAAGCGTTCTTGCTTTACAAAGAATAAAAGAACATTGTTAATCAGTATGTTCATCCTGAAAGTTTAAAGAGCTTACAAAGGGATTTATTTTTTCTTCAGAGGAAAATTAAATTGCTGAATAGATAAATAAATTATAGGCTTTCCCTATACCAGTCATTGCTGAGACACCTGAAGTAAATGATGACATAGGAAAGCTACACTTACCTCTCGGGCATCGAGTGACCTAGAGGTTCGAATGGGGCGGCGTTTCCTGCCAACAGCTCTTCCACCACAGGTGTGGTTGGCCGAGTCTGGCTCCTCCTGCTTATACGTGAGGACAGCGTGTTCCTCTTGGTCTGTGCTTTTCAGAGGCTTTATCATATATCTTTGGTCGCGATGTGTAAAGTATCCCCTGTGAGACACGGAGACTCATATTTGAGGACTCTCTGCCACAGAGTCACATGTCCTGGCCAGAATGGATTAACACCTCTCCCTCCACCCCAAGCTCATACATACAGTTCTTATTCATCAGCTTTTGGCTCATTTAAGGGATAATCAGTATTTGTCAATGCTAAAATAGAGCCTGTACTATTTACCCAGAGAATTGTGAACAAGAATTACTAAGATGAAGAATTTATATCACGAGCTCAGGAAAATGTGCCCATAGTTTGTTTATACATTTAGCAAATATTTCTCTACAGGTCTTAGGAAAATAATGGAGAATGGAGTAAAGGAGCGTGTAGATATCAGGAGCCCTGGAGAAGAGAAAGAATGATGAACAGATCAGCCGGAGGAACAGTGGTTAAAGAGTTCCACTTTACAGTGATGAAATTCACTCAGAAATAGAAAGTTGAATCCATTCGGTGGAACATTACACATCTTACATGACCACTCAAAATGCCGTCTATGGAGGCATCTTATGCTAAGGGAAAAGCCTCTTGGCACCATGTGGCATGAACTATGTTGGAAGAACAATTATGTGTATTTTATTTCATATTCCAACCACATAGAAAGCGTATTTGTCTATATGCATAAAAGGCTGCAAACAAGGTGAAACGTTAATAGCAGCGATCGCACAGAGGTACAATTTCACGGTGGTTATTTTCTTCTCTGTTTTTTCTTACTTTCCAAAATGTCCATAACTGCTAAGAATTACCTTTTGAGTAAGGAGAAATAACACACACACACACTTTGTTAAAAAGAGTGTTTCACCACAATTGCAGGGTGGACCCTTTGAGAGAATCAAACCGAATGCTTCCAGGCAGTGGGATGGGTACACATTAAAGTGGATCAGATGCCACGAAGGCCCAGCTCGCAACACCTTGTGGAATTGCTGCCAGGACTAACTTTTGCTAGACCAGCAGGTTATGAAGCGACTGCAAGGGCGTTGTTTTATTCTTCACTTTAACCACATGCTCAGCGTGTTGTGGATGGAGAACCTTTCTCCAAGGTGGTGAAGGACACGAGGTCCAGGAAGGCCCATTCTGTGTAGTGAAATGCTGCTTGATGTTGAATATTTTAGGGAGTAGTTCTCACCTCAGCCCATTACAAGTACTAATGCTGGCAACGGAATTCTTTTCATTCAGGATGTAGCCTTTGTAGTAGCAGTGCTCCTAAGGTTGGAAAAAAAAGAAAAAAATTAACTGCAAGAATAAAGGTATCACCATTTTGGTGGAAGCTATTATCTTGAATATGTAGGAAAGGTCTTCGAATAGTGACTGTGGCCAGACCAGTTCCCAGAAACAAAAACAGTAGAAACCTTAGAGACTTATGAACTGCTCCCCTGCCGACCCTGGAAACTCCTATTGAATGACTGAGCTGTCTTTCTGGTATTAATTGGCACTAAAGAAAAGTCCAGGGAAGTGGAACTAAGTGGGCTCATGGTGAAAGCGGACGCTACATCTGAGAGGCAGCCAGCTTGCCTGGGATCTACAGTGCTCCCAGAGAACACTCAAGGTGCGGGACAGCTTGGGAGAATTTGACTCCCCTTTGCTGAGTCCCTGACAATGTGCGCACCATGTCAATAAAACCGGGTACACATTTTTCTAGATTCTGTCCTCAAGATGCCACACTATCACTCCTGAGCCCTCTTAGTATTGATCCCACTTACTACATTAATTGGTGCGTTAGTGGAACTTCTTTACCGTCATCAAAACCCCTGAGAATTTGTCTAAAACTAAAGATTCAGACATGGTTGGTGATCCATCTAAACAAAATAGGGGTCACTTGTGTAGCATAATCTAAGAAAGCTGATGAATAATCTCTTGTTCAAAATACACTGGCTTGCCCAGCCGGGCGTGGCTCAACAGTTGAGCGTCGACCTAGGATCCAGGAGATCGGGGTTCGATTCCTGGTCAGGGCACATGCCTGGGTTGCGGGCTCGATCCCCAGTCGGGGGCGTGCAGGAGGCAGCCGATCAATGACTCTCTCATCATTGATGTTTCTGTCTCTCTCTCTCCCTCTCTTTTCCTCTCTCTGAAATCAATAAAGGTATATTAAAAAAAAATACATTGACTTGTCTCAGGGTCTGACAATCCATCTGTGTTTTTCTTTCCTTTGGAAGAAACCCTGTTATCCTAACTTAAAAAAGGCATCACATTAAAGTATCAGCCACAGCACTTGAGCATGAATTAATTTATCTGATACTTTCTTTGGAGGTCCATGTTAGCAAAAATCCAGACAGATATCCATGAGGTGAGAGCTTTCATGTGAGTAGCAATGAAAGAACCATTTTGTGGCAGAAGTCTTAACTGTGTGTTTTTTTAAGAGGTATACATACTCGGGGTGCTACAGGATGGCTCTGAGAAACTTGCTTAGCTTGGTAGAACGCCATGATTAAGCCTTTTAGTAATTTTTCCTGTTCCTCCTTTGGCCTTGATTGTCTATGACTGACATCTAGGCCTTGGCACTATTTGTAGGGTGGTGGCTTAACCAGATAGAAAATTATATTAATTCAATAATAATTGGTATTCCATTGCTGACCTCAGGAGAAGTGCATGTATCATCAGAAAATACTAAATAGTGTCAGGACATTTCAAGACCTACAGGCGAGAATATGTCTCACCTATCGATAAGGTGGCCTAGGAGTAAAGCAGACTTAAGATTGCTTCAAAAAATGCAACACTGCGACGCCTCCTAGGACNTCAAGACCTACAGGCGAGAATATGTCTCACCTATCGATAAGGTGGCCTAGGAGTAAAGCAGACTTAAGATTGCTTCAAAAAATGCAACACTGCGACGCCTTCTAGGACTCCTGCCTTTTAAAAATGCTGACTATGATTTTTTAAATCTGTCATCTCGTTGGATAGGTAAGCACCTTGCTTTCAAGTTCTTCAAAATTTTAAAGTTGTTCTTGGATTTATGAATCTTATAAGTGGCAGATCCAGAAAGAGTCCTAGAAAGCATCCAGAACCTACCACGTTCTGAGGGCGTGTGGTGATTTCCTTTCCTCCGGGTGAGTAGTAAGTTTCAGTGTAGTCTGGCCCCAGGAGATGCCTGCAGAGAGCAGAGAGCTGCATAATACACTCGCCGTGGTAATCGAGGCTAAAATTCCTGTAATGATCTCCAGGACTAAAGGAGTAATAATGTCTACACTGAGCAGGAGCCGGCATTCTCACTCACTGATCTTTTTCCAACATTGGAACTCTGCTGCTGATGCAAATCAAAGCATTAGCTAGCTAGTCCTGCTGGATCCAAGGGAAGGCATGCCCTCAGCTGCCTTTTAACTGAAGATTTTTTACCTTCAGAATGGGTTATTTGGGGATTCTTTGCACAAGGGACACATCCTTCACAGGGTCTCTGAAGGATGCAGGGTCACAAATATGCATAAAGGACCATTGCATTCCGAGAGAATTTTACTGAGTTTTTAGAACTCAGTGGAGCCCCATTCCTGGGATCTATCTCAAGGCTGTGTGCCCTGAATGAACCTTGGACATACATTCTTATAAAAGTAATGGAAAGTCACGTCAAAGGTTTAAGTTTATCTGGGTAGAAAAGAATTTCAGTAAATTCCAAGAAGCATCAAGGAAGAGAGACACTTGTAGGAGCAGCTCTCTTTGTTTTACACCTTGCATGTTACTTCCTAGAAAAGCCTCAATATTTCTGAGATATCATTAGCATGAATGTATCTCAAACACCTAAAACCCAATATACTTGACCTTTATCTCAAATCACACTAAATAAAGTCTTGAGACTTATTTTTCCACATTCTCTTAATAAAATCCAGTGATTAAACTTTCAGAAAATACAACTTACTTGCGTTTTTGTAGGTAGAGAATGACTTCTCCATTTAATATAATCTGATACTGAAGTTCAGGTTCATATCTTTCCTTAAAAATGTAATGATATAAGGATATCAATTTATATTTCTGAGTCCAGCTAAAATAAACATAATATAATGGCATATATTATGTAGAAGGGTAATTGCAAGTCCATGTAAGACAAAAGCAGCTCTCCTATGTCTTCATAATGTGTAAAATTAAACATAAATTGTGTATTCAGATGGATTTCCATAAAGTACAGTAACACGGTAATAATACTTACAGATTAAACTAACTCTAATATGTGAGATAGGAGCTAATCATTGGCCCTGGGCACAGTATACAGCCCGCTATATCCTAACGGATCACTAATGAGTTAATAATAAGGCATATATTATGATAAAACTAAACCAAATACACTAAAGAAAATCAACCCCAAATCTATGAATAATTAAATTAAGTAAAAACTATAAAATGAGGGAAATATTTGCAATAATGTAATAGTCAAAAAGTTAATGTCCTTAAAAATTTTAAAAATCTTGTTAATTAATGAGGTAATGTTGACTTCTCTGTTATAGACAAAATAGTCAAGGAAAATGCAATTCAGTTGGGGAAGGGGATAGGGGTAGGAAAAAAGGTTTGGGGAGCTTGGCAAGAAGAATCTTAAATGATGCCTGCTTTTCTGAGCTCCTTTCTTTTCTCCCCCCAGAACCTTGGAGAAATGCCTAAGCAGCTTTATTCTTTCTAATCAAGTAAAGCAGTTAACTCCCTTTCTGCTGCTTAATTGTAAAAGCATTCTGAGAAATCCTATGTTCTTTGCTGGATAAAGATTAAACCATTAGATGTTGACTGTGACATCACTTCTATTAGTAAAAAGGCTCTTTATTGTCTCTTCAGCTGATTGTAAAATCCCACAGTCACTCGCATTACTTACCTCTTTACCAAGCGTCTCTGTCTGGTTGATCTGTAGTTTTTTAGGACGAACTACTTTGTAGAGTTCTAATTCAGGTGTTTGTCTTATGGCTATTGCTAGAGAAAGAGAGATAATAGTGATACAAAATATTGAAAGCATTTAGTTTTGATTGGTTTGTTAAAATGGCCTGGAAGACTGGATTCTTATTGAGAAAATAAACATGAAAAACAAGTTCCTCCTTCTATGAACTTTGATAACAAGGGTTTTTCTTTTTGCTCTCCACTCCCCTGACCCTTGATTCTGGAAAAACATAATGAGGATGGAACAATGCTTTGGATATCTCTCAATATAGGTAAACTCTGGGCCACCAAGCCCAGCAAGGGCAGGTTTTGGATTAGAACACAGCTTAGGGGAGCCAGCAATTCTGCCTGTGGGTAGTCCAGTTTCTTCTTCCTCTATTGTCCTCTATAAAATTGTGAATTTTTCTTTTAATGTTCTCAGAGATCACTGTATTCCTTTTTATGTACTTTGCTCTCTATGGTGCAACCCCTGACTAACCTCCCCTAAAAAAAATCAAGTATTTCATAGACAGATAATTCTTCATTTTTAGGAAAGGTTCTACTAACAGTTATTTTACTTCTCAGTGCAACAATAAACTATGATTACTTTCAGGACTTTAGATTTCACAGGAAATAATGTTTTTGTTACTCTCTACTGGAACAATTTTAAAGGATCAGAGAGCCAGAAGAAAAATATTACATAGCCTAAAAATGTTCCAGATTCACCTGGAATTACATTATATAGACTATTTCTTGTTTTGCTTGCCTATAGTAAGAAAATAACTGATATTGGAGCGAAAATATGTGGTCCTAAGTCCTAGCTAAATGACATTGAAAGTGACCCCTGTAAAAGTCACTTCAATTTCTATCAGTTTACTTACCTAAAGTAGAGGTTGGTATAAGAATTAAATAGCATAAAGTATATAAAATTATTTAATGCCAGTCTAGGAAGTTGGCAGGCACACTTTTATCCATTTTTTTCTTTACTTGTTCAATCATCAATATAAGGTCTCTTTTAGTTTTAAATGTCCCCATTTTCACAGACAAGTGTCTATGCTTAGAGACAGCTTCTCACTCAGTGTGACATTCAGTGTGAACTTAGGGACACCAAGCAATTCTATACCTGGCTAATGTGGACAACCTGAAGGGAAGGAGTAAATCATAAAGTCTCTTCTAGTCAAACCCCAAAGTTCTGCTGTGATGCTCTCCTAAGAATAATTCATTACATATGAAGAAAAGGAAGTTTATAAATATATTACTAAAAGTCTTTATCAAAAGAGAATATTAATCCCATTAGTGGAAAGAGTTGTGAGATTGAAATTAGAGTGAATTTAAGTAATATGTAGTCCCAACTCTAGTGCTAATTGGTCAACTGGTCAATTAATTTTTAGTTTTGCCTAATAATGCAATTCTAATTTTACTTAAGAGCTTTCCTTGTCATCTACCCTAATGCAGCATTTGGACAAATTGTGTCTTTAGATAAATGATTGTCTTTTTATGTAGTAGAAATATTAATGTTACTCAAGATAACATTGAAGATAGTTAGAAAATTCTAGAATTTTGGTCTGGAAGTTAATTCTCTGCTGTAATTTGGGGCTGTGTGTTTTAGAAAACAAAATATAGAACTTGTAGGATTATTGAACTAGAAAAGTTTAGAGACATCCTGATTAAATTATTATGCCAATCACAACACCATGACAATGAACACAGTTTACGTAAACTGAGTAAGTATACCAAAATACAAACAGTAGTGACATTTGCGTCATCTGAGCACGTCATTTTCTTAAGGGTATTTTAAAAATGCATTAAATAATTTGACTTTGGTATAAAATGTCAATATATTAGGGCTTACCTTCAGTTTGTACAATGAGCCAGAGGACAGAAAGCAGGACCAAAGACATGTTGGCAACTGCAGAAGTCCCACACAGCNCAGGACCAAAGACATGTTAGCAACTGCAGAAGTCCCACACAGCATGAAGATGTGGTCTCCCCAGCTATTTATCTTCTCCTACTTATTACAAATTGAAAAATAATATAAATCTCAAACTTTATTTGTAAGAGTGGGATATGTTTCCTAATAGTGTTGAGGTTTGCAGAGAAATTGCAGTGTCGGGGTCATGAGAATGTTCTTCATTGATGAGATGTGTTTATGTCTGTGGTTACAGCCTGTTAAGAATCACTTCCCGACAGCTGCTGGTCCTAGTGCTCCTGTAACTGTGGAAAAGTACCAACTGAGACGCTGATGTCCACATACATATTTGTATACTCATCAAACTGAACCATCACCCTTGCTCCTCAGTAACTCTACAGAAAGTGTAGGGTTAGAAATTTAGAAAATATATCAGTAGCTTCTACGTATTTTGAGAAACTGGTACAGAAAACACAAAATCGATAAAACAAGTACCAGGCAAAGTCTTAACAAGCTAGCATATTGCAATCTCTCTGCCCCTCAGTCTTCTTTTCTGTGAAAATGGGATGATGATAACAATACTTACCTCAAGCTTCTTATAAAATTCATGCAAGGTTTCCTGGCTGGGTAGCACCCAAAAATTGAGGCTTAGATTCCAGCCCAGGACACACCTGGGTTTCTGGTTTGAGATGCCATTGGGGCACATGTAGGAGTCAACCAATCAATGTTTCGCTCTCACATCAATGTTTCACTCTCTCTCTTTCTCCCTTTCTCTCTCTCTAAAAATCAATAAAAACATATCCTCAAGTGAGGATTAAAAAAATTTCACCCAAGGTAAGACATACACATGCATGCACATATGCACATAAAACTGCAAAGATATGTGCACATGTAGTTCTCTTGACAGTGTTAGCCTCAAACATATTATACTGCATATGAAGTATGTTTGAAGTGCAGCATGAGTTCTACTGCAGGAAAATAACAATATTTTTCTAATTTAGAAACATTTTCTATGGTCATAAATATCAAAAGAGTATACTGAGGGGAAAAAAATGATCACCCAATGGCCCAACAACAAGAAATGGCTTCTGTTAACATTTTGATAATTTATTTACATCTCTTTTCTATGCAGTAATAAAAGGAAAAACATACAATTAAATTAAAATTTTTAGACTTTAGTGCTTATTGTATAAAGAGTTTTGAGAATCTGTATTTTTTTGCATAGCATTATGACATGATGTTGGATATTAAGATGTTATTTTAATGACTAGAAAATTGCCTTGTGTGTGTATGTTATGTATGTCTTTGTATGTGTATATTTCTTTGATTACATTCTGATTATTTCTTTTGGATAAGTTACTAGAAATAGTATCATTTAGTTTATTTTTTAATCCTCACTTGAATATATTTTTTCCATTGCTTTTCAGAGAGAGTAGAAGGGGGAGAGAGAGAGAGAGAAACATTGGTGTGAGAGAGACACATTGATCGGTTGCCTCCCACATGCGCCACAACCGGTGTTGGGGATCGAGTCTACAACTGAGATATGTGCCCTTGACCAGAATTGAACCCAAGACCCTTCAGCCNTTGAATATATTTTTTCCATTGCTTTTCAGAGAGAGTAGAAGGGGGAGAGAGAGAGAGAGAAACATTGGTGTGAGAGAGACACATTGATCGGTTGCCTCCCACATGCGCCACAACCGGTGTTGGGGATCGAGTCTACAACTGAGATATGTGCCCTTGACCAGAATTGAACCCAAGACCCTTCAGTCCCCAGGCCAAAGCTCTAACCACTGAGCCAAACCGGCTAGGGCAGTATTATTTAGCTTAAAAAGGTAAATCAGTTTGAGGTTCTTGGTGTACATTAACCCAGTACTTCGAGAATTAGCACCAAATTACACTTCCATTTATAGAGTTTTCCCAGTCTAAAAATCTGTCTTTAACTGCTGAGCTTATTTTTACTGATACAGTTGGAAGTTGGCTAGCATCTGATTGCAAGTTTTACAGTTACCTCTATGTCTATGTTTCTTTTGAGTCAGTTAAGTTTTCACTATTATTTTATATTACTTTTGCTAATCCAGAAGATCAACATTCTACATATATTCTATGGTAGTTACCATTAAATTTTAACAAAATGTGATCTTGATGAACAACTCTACCATCAAATAATACAAGACCCTGAAATGGTTTAACTTATCAGCATCCTACCTCTTGCCCCCTTACGTATTGTTGTCAAGTATTTTAGTTCTACCATAATTTTCACCCACAAGTTAGTCATGATCATTATTTTTGTGTTTTATGCATATGGCTTATTTGAAATTACTCTCATGCATACCACCTTCTTTGTTCACAGGTCCTTTTAATATCAGTCCTTTTATAATTTTTTTCTTTGTGAAACAAATTCTTTGATAAATCATTTATTAAAGTTCTGTTGGAGTAAGACTTCTGTGCTTTTAAAAAAAATTTTTCAGAGAGTATAATTACCTCACCCTATTCTTTAATGGTAGTTTAGTTGGGAATACAGTTTTAGGGTTACAACTAATGTCTCTCAGGATTTGGGAGCTATTTTACTATCTTGGACAACTATTGCTGCTGCTGTCAGAAATTCTATTTTTAGTCTATTAAATGGATATTAATTTTGCTTATTAAATATACAACCAGTATTGCAGTATAAGTTAAATATTTATTGAGATCATTTTAAATTTGAGTTAATGTTAAATTAATAGTGGTTTATATTAAATTAATATCATTTCTAAGCATGCCAAGATGACCCTTATACTATCCTTACCATTGAGATGTTCCTGCAATAAAGTACAGTAATGGAGATAAATCTACAAACAGATTTAGTTTATACAAATGGCAAACATTATGATTGATACTTGTACATTGTATTCAGGTAGATTTTAGAAGCATAACATTTGGTAGGTAGAAAGAGTCAGGCAATATTAGCTGGAAAAGAAACAAGAGAGAGAAAACTCTATGAGCAAAGCCCTGGGTATGTTTGAAGAACTGCAGTGTATCTTACATAACTTGAATATAACATAAAAAGTAGTAGGTATCTGACATAAAGCTTGTGAGATATACAGGAGCCAAGTGATGGAGAGGAAAATGCTAAAGGCCTTAAAGAAGGGGGCACACATCTGAGAAACATTTAGCTCACGAAATTGTTTGACTTGCTAATGATTGCATGACACCTGAGGGAGGAAGAGAAATCTGGAATCAGTTCTAAGGTACAGCTTGAGCAACTATATGACACCTTCCAACCTGGTCAGTTGATAAGAGGTGCACTTTAGTTATAACTCTTAAAGGCAGGAGATATAGCTCCTGGTTTACCCTTCAGGAGCACAGTACCTTGAAGATAATATATGTTCTAAAATGTTCATCAAGCATTTGTACTTGAAAAGCATTTGCAAACTACACTTTCTTCCTGGAATACTGATGCTGTTTATTAGACAGTTGAATATCAGTGTATAAATAAAAACTGTGAAAATAACAGTGAGAAGATTATTTACTTGATGCATCTGGAGGGGTTGAGGAATGATGTATAGGTGCACCCTTATAAGTATAATATCCAAGGGCTGAATAAACATATGACTTAATTTATGATCATGAAACTAAGAAATCATGGCCAACATCCTGACCACAGAGAATTCTATTCCCATAAAACTTGCAACTTAACATTCTGGAATGTTTCCTAATAAAGTATATTTCATGATTCATGGCAGATATTTATTATCTAAGTAAAAATGAAAATCAAACAGCAACATGGACAAAAATTACAATAACTTCCAAGAAATACCCTTGAAATGGGTGCAAGGTAACAAGGTCATGCATGGAGAGTGAGATTTCACATACGATAAATGGTATAGATGTTGAAGAGACTGAGATAAATCTACAAACAGATATAATTTATACAAATGGCAAACATGATGATTGATATTTGTTGAAGAGGTGAAAGATAAATTTGTTTGCAGGTGAATAAAGGTCGCTAAGTATTTCAGTAAAAGGAGTGAGAAGAGGGTTCAGAAGGATGAGCCAATTTATTCAGTAAATATTTAGAATTGTTTGTGTTCTTATTTTCTAGGCTTTGTGTAAGGGTTTTGGGATGTGAGATTAAATACTAGAATTGTGAAGAAAATCACACTGAACAGTAAGTGGAGCAATGCATAAGGTAAAAGGGAACATAGAGTTGGGTAAGAGGGAGATATTTCGGGTATCAACAGCGGAATACCTCCAGCAATGGTGGACTAGCTTATCTCAGAGCAGTCCTGCACTAGTGATGTTTTAAGGAGCTAGAGGGGAAAAAAGTATGTATATACCATCTATTAGAAGGCATTTAGAATAGCTAAGGCAATAAGGACAGGAATGTCCAAGATTTCAAAAAGGAAGGACGTACGCAGAGGTGAGCTTCACATTCCCCCCCCTCCCCCCCCAACACTTCCCTTCAGGCATTTAGCAATTCTTAGGTTCCAGCTGAGAGGTTAAGAATCTGAGCAGAGTCCTCAGTAGCCTCACACTGCTACAAACACAAACTTGGAATTAAGGGTCCCCCAAGAAGGAGGGAGACTAATGAACTCCCAGGGGTGAGTTGGGATCTATGAAAGACTGCACTCTATTAGTAAAAGCAAACAATAAATACTCAAGCCTTTACAAATTAAAAACGAGTTTCTGATCAGCTCAGTCCCTGATTATATTAAGGTGATCTACCTTGAGACTAACTGCCTGCCCAAAGAAAAGGTACATTTTTGGTATAGCTACACCGTGAAATACCACCCAGGAAGGAAAGTGTACCGTCTGCTACATGAAGAGTGATGGATAAAAATCACACACATAGTTTTTTTAAAAAGAAAAGCCTTATGCTTCTACTGAAATACATTCCCAAACTGGCCAAACTCAGCTGCTATTTTAGATAACACGTACTGGGTTTTGGGGGGAAGGAGAGAATAGAATGACCGCAGGGAGATACGGCTGATGCTTCCTGGACACTGTTAATAATACATTTTTTGATGGATGTGGTAATTACATGGGATATAT